TTTTTATAAATATAAATATTACTTTAAAGGTCTAAATAACTAAATAGTTTTATATTATTTAAAGTTAATTCTAATAAGTACTAAATAAATATAATTAGCTTTTAGAAAAGATATAGATTAGTTTTAGAAGAAATAATATCTTATTTTAAGTTATTTTTTAATTCTATTATTCTGACTTTTTTATTATTAATACTTATTTTATATTTTCCTAATATTTTTAATATATTTATATATCTTATCTTTTATATATTTCCTATATTATTTCTTTTCTTTTATATTATTTTTTGAATTAATAGGGACGTTTCTAAATAAATAGGAAATTAGGGTATATTTATATTATAAATTTTTTTTTTTTTTTTATATTTTAATACTTTAGATATTATTATTACTATTTAGTTTAATTTGCCTTAATTATTTTCTTAATTATATTTTCTTAGATATATATATTTATATTTTTTTCTGTAATAAAAGCCTAACTTTATATTTTACTTTTTATAATTATTTCTAATTTATAATTATATTATCTTAAATATATCTAATTATTATATTTACTTTCTCTATTATATATATTACTATTTTAGCTTTATTTTCTTATTAGAAAAAAAGAAAAACTTGAATATATATAATATTTTTATATAATTTAAAACTATTCTAATTTATTCTTTATTTTAAAATATACTTAAAAGAAATTCTTATAATCTCGAGAACCTTTAATTCTATAACCTATAACTATTATACTAATAATACTTTTATAATCTATTAAAAATAATAAAATAGCTAAAGAATATATTTCTTAAGTTAGTAAAATATAATAGCTAGTTTTTATAAGCTATAGTATTATTAAAAGCCTATAAATTAATAATATTAAAGTTTAGAATATTAAAGAAGCTTAAGTAATTATAGAAGGCCTACTAATACTAGAAAAAATAGCTATAATTACTAAATTTAATATAAATATCCTAGATAAGCTAAGTAATATATATAATAAGCTCTTAAAATAAAAAACCTTTATTAGAAATAAAACTAGACTAGAATTAACTAAGAAAAAGCTAAAGAATTACTAAGCTAATAATAGGGAATTCGAGAATATTATTAAAGGCATTTCTAAAAATAAATAAGAGAAGCTTAATAAGATTAAGACTACAGTAAATAGTCTTAATATTAAGGATTAAAATAGAATTATATTATATAATAAAGCTTTTAGCTAATATATTAATAATATTTATAATAACCTTAATAAAAATATTTATAAGAAGTTATACTTTTTCTTTAAGATAAAAGCTTTAGTATATAGAGCTATTTAGTTAATTAATAAAGCTACTTTAGAATATATTAAGAATAAGAAATATTAGAATACTAGTATATTTACTAAATTAGATATTACTAAGGTATTTAAATATATTAAAGCTATTTTAGAATATAAAGAATTAGAGTTTAAGCTACTATTAACTAATAATCTCAAGGCTAGATAATATATCTTTAATACTTCAGGAATTCTAATTAAGGAAGTTTATAATAATAAGCCTTTTCCTACTTTCCGAGATAAGCCTAAAAAATAGGCTCTTATTATAATTTTAGCTTTAACTTAACTGGATTTAATTAAGAAAAATAAAGCTATTTTAATAAAGCCTAATAAGAAAACTACTAGTAAAGCTAGTAGAACTAGTATAACTAGATAAGAAGAACCTAGTAAGAATAAAGAGCAAGCTAAGCCTAAAACTTCTAATAAATAATAGAGATCTGAGTACTAAATTAAGTATAAGATTAGTAAAGTAAAGAAAAGCAAGAAGAAATTCTTTATTCTAAAAAAAAAGATATTATCTAGAAAAACTCCTATAATTATATCTAGAACTAAGAAGTAAAAAACTAAAAATATTAAGTTCAGAAAACTTAATAAAGGCATTTAGTATACTTATAAGATACTAGCTAAATAGAAATTAATACTTATTTAATAAGATAAGTATATTTTTAAGGAAATATATAATAGTATTTTAAAATCTATTTATAAATAAGAATACTATAGGGTTAATAATAGATTTCTTAAAGCTCCCTATATAATATATATTTAGTAATTTACTAATACTTTCTTTATTAATATATAAGAGATTAAGAATACTCTAAAGCTAGTTATTAAAATCTATAAAGTTACTAAAGGCAAGAAGTATATTTCTATTACTTAAATAAATAAGGAAATATAGGATTTCTTTTTTAAGAACTAGGATATTAAGAAATATAAATATAAGTACTATATTTCTAATTAATTCCGCCCTAATTTATAGCTCTAATTTAATATTATAGTTTCTATTTCTAAGTCTAGTATTACTAATCTAAATACTAATAGCTATATTTATAAAAAGAATTACCTAAAATAAATTAAAAAACTTAGTATTCGAGAGCTTTTAATAAAGAAAATAAAAATATTATAATTCTATTTCTAAAAAAAAAAATATATTAATATATAAAGATCTTAATAATAACTACTTTATTTTAGCCTCTTAACTTTTAATAATAAATCTATTAATATAGCTCGGATTTTATAAAGTATTAAGTAAATATCTTATTTACTTAGTTATTTATTCTTAGCTAGCCTAATACTTTATTTCTAGAAATATTAATTATAGTTAGTATAAAGGTAATACTAAGAATCTAGCTATTACTAAAGCTTTAAGTAACGAATTTTACCTTAGTAAAAAGTATTAGAATATTAGCTATATTTTTCTTATAAATTATAAAAAAGCTATTATCTTTAGTAAAAAGTTCTTTAAAAATATTAATTACTTTTTTATTTCTAATAAATTTAAGCCAGAAATAACTAAGAAAATAGGCGAGTATTTACTAAAGATAATAGGAGAAAAGACTTCAAATATAATCTATTTAACTAGATAAATAAATACCTTTAATTAAGTAATCTATAAGTCTAGAATTATAAGAAAGTATTAATTCTCGAATAATATATAAGTTAAAGAATAGCTTAATAATAATTTATTACTTAATAAGCCTTTTATTATAGTTCTAATAAATCTAGTTACTATTAAGAATAGAATATATAAAAATAAAGTCTCTTATAAGATTATTAAAGCCTTTTATCTAGAGCTTTCTTTTCTTATTAAAGACTAATTTAAAAATACTATAAATAATACAAAATTTAAAGAAGCTATTTATTTAAAGTATATTAGTATAATTTATAATATAATTTACTATAATAAGTTTCCTTAATATCTAGTAATAAAGTCAGAAATTAAGTAATAATTAAAGGCAGACACTAATTAATAAAAAGAACTATATTGGATTTAGTATAAGAATATAGCTAAGCGGGTTTGGATTATCTTTAAGCAAGTTCGGAAATATAAAATAAGACTATTTAAAAATAATAAGTTTTATTTTAGGTATATAAAGAAGAAATTAGATTAACTAATAAAGAAGAATCCTAAATATTTTATTATTTCGGACTTTAAATAGGATTTTTCTATTATTTTTAGTACTTAGAAAATAAGTATATATAAATAAGAAGTCAGATATAATATAATAGGCTATACTTATTAAAAATCATATTATTTTGGCGGTTTTAAGGTTTAGGTTATATAATAAAGGCCGCGGCCTTTTATATATAACTTACGGAAATTATATAAAAAAGCTAGTTTTTCTATAGATTTAGAGAATAATTCTTTATAAGTATTTAATTAATTAAGTTTTTATATATTATATACTATTTATACTTTATTATTTATACTTTTAATTTATTATTTATACTTTTAATTTATTATTTTACTATTAAGTTACGTTTTATACTCTAGTATACTTTATATGGGTTTTTGACTTATTATAATTTCTCTTTTATAGTATTAATTAGTTTATTTATAGGAACTAGTTCTTGGAATTAATTATATTTTTATACTTTACTTTATACTTTATTTTCTATTTTATTTCCCTTATCTTAACTACTTATATAATACCCTGCTATATTATATACCTTATATATATAAACTTAATTAATAAATTCTAGTAATTTTAAAATAATAATATTATTAAAAGTATTAGATTTCTTTATTTTTATTAACTAAAATTAAATAGTTTTATTAATTTAATTAAAATTAATTAATTAGAAAAATAATTTATATTATATTAATAATTATTTTAAATATATTTTAATAAAATTTTCTTTTTTTTCTATTTAAAATAATAAAAAATATCTTATATAAATTCTTAATTCTTATTAATATTTTCTAGGTTTATTTAGGAATTAATATATTATTTAATATAAAGAATTATTATTAAAGTATATTTTTTATAATAGCTAGTATTATATAATTAATATAGATGTGATTTTAGCTAAGAGATTAGTTTTAGCTAAGGTTCCAAGCTATAGTTTAAACCAAGCTTGCTTCCAAAGCTTGGCGTTTTAGTAGTCTTGGCCATATCTACTTATCTACTGCCACACCTCACTCCTTCTCTCCTTAGCTTTAGATTCTATAGGATATTGGAATTATAGATCTTTAAGTATTATTCTATTACTTTATTCCTGCCATTACATAATCTAAAGCTCCTACCTTTCGGACGGTAGTCATTATTATTATTTATTAGGACTTCTGTTCACTAGCCCGCTTTCATGCAGAGCCCCCTTATTATTATTGTCATTATTACGTGGCGCTGCCTATAGTCTTTTACCCGCGAGGTGTCAAAAAGCTCGATTTTGGCCAGCTCACCCCTTATTATTTATTAGAGCTCCTGGCTCACTACCTCATTGATTTTTTTACCTCTTTACCAACTTTACCGATATTCCCTTGAGAATGAACATCTTCTAAACGCAAGTTTAATGCGAGTTTAATGGTTTACGGGCTGAAATTACTACCTTGCGAGCTGCCCTCGCTAGTACCCAAACCCAGTTAACTGCCTCTACGGCCACGGTGAAATCCAGTCAAAAGTCGAAGCTCCCTGACCCTGAGAAGTTCGCTGGAAGTACGTACAGATTCGATACCTGGCTCCCGTTAATCAAGGCCAAGCTCTCTGTTAATGGATCGGCAATTGGGGACTCTACTGCCCAGTTTTACTACGTTTACCTCAATCTGGAGTCTTCTGTCCAATTAATGGTCCTGCTATAGCTCTCCTATACAGAGCATACTTAATCGTGGGATTACTAAATGATCCTGGATTAGCTTTCAAGGATATATGATAATCCAAATAAGTAATCGGAGGCTAAAGACAAGCTCCATGCCCTCCGCCAAGGCAACGATTCCCTTCCTGCCTATATTGCCAAGTTTGAACGTATCCTATACGAAGCGAATGGCCAAAGCTGGCCAGATATTAATAAAATTTCCAGCTTTCGCAATGGCCTCAACTCCGCAATTCGCTCTCGTTTGGCCCAATAGTTGACTTTGCCCCGGGTTTACGCTGATTTCCTGCGTACGGTTCAGTAGCTCTCGTCAAAGACAGCTGCCCCGCCGTATGTTACTGCTCCCAGAATTGCCAGCGATCCCATGGACGTCAGCGAACTGACAATTGACGTCGTTACACCGGCAATTAGTGCCCTTACGTTGTCCTCTGAGCCAATCTCACCGGCTATACCAGCTCGTTCCACCTCAAAGGAGCTCCGCCAGCATTATCGTCAAACCGGCAGGTGTGTCAGATGCGGCTCCCAGGATTACTTTATCAAGAACTGTAGCTTGGCTCCTGCAAGTACTGCTACTGGTTCTGGCTGCAAATGGGTTACGACTGCCGCAATTGACTATTACTCTGATTCTGGTGGCGATTCTGGCGATTCTGGAGGAGGGCCAACCTTGGATCCGGTTTTTAACCGTATATGGAGGGCTGATTTTGCGGCTTGAATAGGGTCCTTTTCCCTTGTTTTGTCATTTTTACTACACTCGCTTTAGCTTTCCCTTTGTTTACTAGCGCTCGGGACGAGCTTTTCTGGAGGGGGGGGGGGGGTGATGTGACGGCTGGTGTCACATGTTGATACGGACGTGGTTTCAGCCAAGGGGTTGGTTTTAGCTAAGGTTTCCAAGCTATGGTTCAAACCAAGCTCGCTTCCCAAAGCTCGGCGTTTCAGTGGTCTTGGCCATACCTATTTATCTACTGCCACACTCACTCCTTCTCTCCTTAGCTTTAGATTCTGTAGGACATTGGAGTCATAGATCTTTGAAGCATCGTTCCATTGCTTTGTTCCTGCCGTCACACTTTTAATTATTATAAAATAATTAATAAGCTAATAAATTTAACTTGATGGTATTAGTGTCACGAAACCGGGCTCTGGGCTTGGAAAGCAGGTAGAGTGGCTCTTAATCCGAGGATTCTAAACTAAGGAGGGAAGCTCGTATGTACAGGAGCTTTGGTGTTCTAAATACTAGCCAGCCGCATGCGTCATCGCGATCACGTGACGCTAAATTTACTAGTGAAGCGGTGACGCGTAACAATTAGCTCCCTGCAGCATATTCGTCAGCCACAAGTACATGTCAGAAAGCATCTATTTGTCTCTTTAATGAGCAACCCCAAGTGCGCCATACTGGCCTGGCTGGCACATTTTCGTCTCGAATGACGAGCGACAGAGATTTCCTTGGAATATCTTAAAGCATCTAGAAGAATACTCGAAACGGAAACTGACATACCAGTACGGCATCCTCAACGCAATTCTTGGAGTTTTGAGATTATATGAGAAGGCAAAATATCTAACGTATTACCACTAGGGTATACCGATCCTCCCCCCGGTTATTCAAGGCCGCAATGGGTGGCCGTCTCCAATCCAAAGGAGTCGGAGTGATGGCTTTGTTGTTGGACTCTGCTTGCAGCACACGGCGCCTGGATATCGGCGAGTTGGCTTCCCGAGCTGGTCATGGGCCGGGTGGAAAGTTTGCTTGAGCGAGACATCCGAAGAATACGAGCACGCTCTCAGGACACAAGGAGATAACAACATCGAGATTCTCTTTGAGGATACAGATCAATCTATATAATAGCCGTACTAAACCTGTAGAAAACTTTCCCTGCCACGTGACCAGTTTTTGTCTGTGCGGGAACACCAAACCTGTACAGGCTTCACTCGCGTTTTACCTACGCTTTACTTGCGCTTTGCTTATACCCACAATGTCTGAATTAAATCAATTATACTACCCTGGATATTGCTGCCCTCGATCGATCTTCTAGTTCCCTCTTAAGGATGGCTGGCGAACCGCGACGTGTGGTTCTTGCCTTGAGTAATAGGCCTTGCGCTATGTAGCGATTCAGGGGCGAGAGAGAGAGGGAGAGGAAGAGGGAGAGGAAGGGGGGGAGAGGGAGGGGGAGGGGGAGCAAGCTACAGGTAAGTTAACGGACCTATTTACGGGCAAGCTAACTCTTCTAGGGCCGCAAACCCGTTGCTCAAGCTGCTTGCAATTCCGCAATCTCGGCCGCTTCCTTACCTGTAAGCCCTATCGTCGCCGGAATTTGAAGGCAAAGCGTTATTGAGCTCTAATGACTCGTATTCCGAACCCTCTCCTAACTCGAGCCGAGCTTGCGGATCATATCTAGCACCGGCAGCAAGCTACCGGGAAGATAGAGAGAGGGTTTGCCGGATACCAGGCAATTACGGTCGATGATTATACGCGAGAGCCAACCCAAGAGAAGGAGCAGGAGCTCCAGGACCGGTAGCAATGGCGTAAGGATGGGAAGGCAGAGAGGAGGGTTTGGGAGGTAGAGAGGAAGGAGCGAGTGAGGAAGTCACAAGCACAAAGAGGCCAGTTCCTAGGGGAGGGGGAGTTTGAGGCGTGGTGGGAGGCGAGGGAGAAGGAGTGGCAGAGAGCAAGTGAGAGGTTAAAGGAGGGAGATAGGGAAAGGAGGAAGATGAAGAAGGATGGAGAGAAGTGGGCTGAGTGGGCAGAGAGAGAGGAGCAAGAGAAGAGAGAGAGGGAGGGGCAGGCTAAAGGAGAAGCTTGCGGACTAGTGGAGAGGCAGGCTTGCGAGCTGAGAGAGAGGCAAGCAAAGTTATATATAGACGAATACGAATATTGCGATAATTATTAACTCTAATTCCAGGGCAAGTGAGGCTTAGGAGGGGCCGCGAGAGGAAGAGAGCTTTGCGGGTAAAAGTAAGGCTTGGGAGGGAGTTACGGGTGAGAGTACAGGTAGTAAGGGGCTTGCAGGGCGAGTGAGGCTTGGGGAGGCCCGCGAGAGGGAAGGGAGAGCTTTGCGGGTAAGAGTGAGGCTTGGAAGGGAGCTACAGGTAAGAGTACGGGTGGTAACGGGCTTGCGGGGGCAAGTAAGGCTTGAGAGGGCCCGCAAGAGGGAGGGAGCTTTGCGGGTATGAGTAATGCTTGGGAGGGAAGGGGAAGCCCTATAAGTAAGGGTATAAGCGGGAGTGAGGCTTGGAAGGGTTCGCGAGAGGAAAGGAAGAGCTTTGCGAGTAGAAGTAAGGCTTGGGAGGGCCCGCGAGTACGGTATAGAAAGCAAAAAGCTAAATATTTAAATAAAAGCTCTTAAAAACTAATTTCTCTCACGCTTATACGTTATATTAGTGCGAGCTTGCGAGCGCAATGTGGCTATACTTAAGGAGAAGGTTTTATAAGTAAAAGTAAGGCTTAAAAGGGCTTATAAAAGGAAAGACAGAGCTTTGCGGGTATAATTAGGGGATATTACAGTTCGTAAAGAGAAAGAGAGAGCTTTACGAGTAAGTATAAGGCTTAGAAGGCCTATAGGTAATAAAAGAGCTTTATTATAAGTAAGTCACGTGACCCTCTTAATCTCGAATCGAGATCAGGGCAAAATTAAAGACTGGCCCCGAAGCTTGCGTAGGGCCGCCAGGCTTTAATTTTAGCGAAGCGGCCCAGATCTCGTCCTTATTACCATGGGATGTATTCTGGAACTCTTTGGGCCAAAACCCGAACGTGCCGTTGTATATCCATTTGTCAGTCTGCACCATTCACGTAAGGCTTCAGTACGGTCCGGAATCTACAAACACTCAGCCGGACTATCTACCGTCTGGGGATAAACCGACTCTTGGTTCTGCGTATTGGGCCCCATTTGATATCAAAGAAAATGTTTCCATTCAAGGAAGACTATATCTCCTTCAAGAAACAGACAAAACCTCAGAATATCACATGGATTTGACGAGAAAGGTCTTCATGGGCGTGATTCCAGGAGAGTCTTACCCTCTTTACTCCAACCCGAATACCTTTATCATGGTCGCTCAAGACAACGGCGAGTGTCTTGGACGAATCGGGCATTATAGAATTGGATTGATCATACCAGCATTGGAGTAATCCCGTGGTGACGGTGTAAATGAAGCATAGGCGCATCGGAGCGAGAGTGATTTGAGCACGCGGGCACGGTTTGGAGAGTGGTCCGTGGTAAACACGTTTAACGGTCATGTTTGGGAGGCTCTCTCCAGAGGCTTTATAGAGTGCTAACCGCAGTATTTTGTAGCAAGACCAGGTAGAAGAGCCGACGAGCCGCAGTTGGCACAGCGGCACAGCAGCACAGCAGCACAGCAGCACTAACCGCAGCAAAGGCCCAGTTTACTATGCTAGATACTCGTGAGTGTGACATTATATACGGAGGTTAGTGATGAAGGCGGAACCGAGTAAGTGTGGTTCGAATGATTAGACGATTACTAGCGGAAGATATACTCTACCAAAGGCCGCTCAGGATCGCCAAACAGCGCGATCACATCTAAGCCATGCACATAACAATCTCCTAGAAGAGTTGACGTATCCCCTTCACATAGCCGAACGGCGAAAGGGTAAGTGGAACCAGGAAGGTAGACAATCTTATCCCCTGGCTGCACTTCCGGATCAGCAAGCCCCAGAGACCCTCCCTCGGTAACAAACAGCTTCCTCCCATAACTAGCCTTCTCAAATTCGTTGACATACGATCTGTAATATCTTTCACACGTCTTTTGTAATGAGCTCTCGTCCACGCCTCCCAGGCCTAGTTCCGTGCAATATTCCACATCCTCGAAGTATTGAGGCTCTTTCGAACCGAGCGCACCCGTCCCATATTGTTTGTACCATAGTACGCCTCCTATGGGTGACCACTGGTAGTCCATGTTGAGGGAAATGTTGAGAGCAACTATTGTACCCCGAACACATCGGATGCTGTGGTGCGTGGGTCGACCGACATCCTGCCAATTTCTGAGTCCTTCGTCGACACGGCGCTGGCAGCAAGACTTTCCCATCCTAAGAGGAGTCGCAAGCATGCGTCTGTACCGAGCGCGTATTCTTTGCTGGCGGGCAGCTCATTACCAATAAATCGAACAGTGTCGACAGCCTTACCCTTGATTATGAGCTCCATGTCATCATTACGGAATCTCAGCCCGGGTGAGGCCTTGGTCAGACAACTATCCAGCCACTCCCACTTTCCATGGTGGAGACTTTCTGTATGACCGGGAAGGTGACACGAGGAACGCCTTGCGCTGAAATCTGGGACCCAGGAAGGAAGACCTGGTATGGTATGCTTTGTTCCACACAAATTCAAGAGATCGAGGCTGCCAGCCTCCTGGATGATGGCCTGGGTGAATTTGCAATAGATTTCTTGGACGTCTAGCCCGTACTCAACTGACATAAGTCCACGTTTCAGTAGACCGAATATGCCGTAGACCTTATCTTTTGGATCCGTAGCTTGAGAGAACTGGCTGTACTTGAGCACCGATCGATACGCGCCCGGGCCGGTGCCACCAGCGTCCCTCAATCCGTGTAAGTCGTGAAGCTGACGTGCTCGAATTTGGTAGTCTAGGCCACGAATAGGGTAGTAGGCGGGCTCTATGTGCCTGATTAACGGCCTGAAAATATCGTTCCAAGCAGCTGAATCGGATCCACAACAGACAATGGCTGCTTTGCTGAGAGCTTTTTCCTGAATCACCCATGTCCGGAAGAACCAAGGTCGCTGACAGAGCCTATGAAATGCCGTGAGTGTTGACCCTTTATACGCTGGTGGATTTGACTCCTCTACGGGAGAGCCGCGGAGTTTATATTCCTGCCGCCATTGTGCATGGTGTTGAAAGACTAGGTGGGAGTCTTCACCTGATTTTCCTAGCCATACGAGGACTCTGCTCGCGTTCATGTAAATATCTCTCATGAGAGTGACTTGCTGGTTGCGCTCCCCGATGTCGCACTGGTTGATACAGATGGCATCCACCCACAAGTGTCGTGGTTTGGACTCTAGCCGAAATGCGAGCAGCGCTTCGTACAAGTTGGGCGTAATTTGAAGAACCTTGCTGTCCAGCTTGATGTATCTGGGCACAGAGTTGTCGCCCCAGACGTACGAAAGTGCTTCATAGTCTGGGGCAAGACTTAGATCGGACGAAACGAGCTCACATTCGATCAGGAATCCGGAGTCCGTTGCGGCGTGGAGGATCAATGTGCGGAACCCATCGCGTCCGGTCAAAGGCGTGTGCACAAAATCCTGGCCAATTATTCTGTCGATTGGCAACAATGATTTGGTTTCCGGGTTATGTGAGTCGATTGGAATCCCTAAGTCGAGCACTTGGTCCTTGTTGGTGATCACAGTATGGATGGGCGCACGGCATTGAGCCTTGACCCTCCACTGTTCTCGCATCTTTTGCCCTTCCTCCGGCATATGACGCTCCAGTAGCTGGACGAAATTCCACAGCTCCCATAGTCGATCTGTGCTTTGTATCTGCGTTTTGAGCCTCTTTCCTATAGTCGTCAACGCATTATTGCCAATGCCTGTTTCCAAGCAGCCCATGTTGGCGCCTCTCTCAATGAGAAAATTTATTGTCGCCATAGACCCACTCCTGCACGCGATTTGTATGAGTGTCTCGTTCTTCTTATCCCTATCGGTTCGCCGGGTACGGACGCGGAATGCTTCGTTGATATTGAGGAAAGACACGAGGACGTCGAGCATTTCGATATCGCCCTCACCGATTGCTGTCGTAGCAAGCTGCCCGAGCTCGTCAGGAGGCACGAGATTGCCCCATTTCTGGAAGAGGTCATGCAACAGTGCGCATTCGCTTTTGCGGGCAGCATACCGTTGTGCTTGAGCAGCGTCGAACTCGGAACCGTGCTGTATGAGGAGCTCAATAGTCTCAAAGCTTTTCGTAACGGGGACGCGGTCAAGTCTACTTCCCATTTGAAGCAGGTGCTTCACTAGGGAGACATGGCCACATTGAGCAGATAGCTCAAGCATCTGAGCACGATCCTCTGTGCGAGACTCAACTTCCAAGAGCACGCGACACGTTTCCCAGCGCTTCGAGCACTTCTCCCAAGTTAAACCCTCGATTCCTCGATGCCGTCTACTGCTCCAGACACCCTCCGCGGCAGAATGCGTCGCACATATGGCGATCCCCAGAGCCGGTTTGTTGTGAGTCTTGCGCGGCGGATCTTCATGCGGCGAACGAGTCGCTTCCCAATCCAACTGTTCGCAAGTCGACTGGCCCATATCTCGGGGCCGGGCCCCAAGGTCAAGGAGGAGTTGGACCACATGTGCTTGCCCCCCCGCGGCCGCAGCATGAAGTGCGGAGGCGTAGAACCTCCCTCTGCTGTATTCAAGGACCGTAGGGTGATCAATTGGGACGCCATATGCAATCAGCCTCTCCACCCACGAGGTCTCCCCTCGAAAACAGGCCGCGTGTAGGAGTTTGACCATGTGAGGTTCGTCGCGTGAACACGATATCCCAGCATCCAGAAGGTCGCTCACAATCTGTCTCCAACCACCTCCCAACTTCCCATTCCAGGGATGACCATGGAACTTAGGCGTCTCAACCTCCTGCCACACAATGGCTTCCAGAGTTGTCTGTACTAGGTTTAGCGATGTCACATCCCTCCACGAGACAAAGGTATGTGTCGTCGAGATTTCGGCACCTTCTTCAAGAAGTATTCGAAATAGCTTGCAATGCCCAAGCATGCAAGCGTAGAAGAGAGCCGTGTTTCCATGGTTGTCGAAAGCCCTAACGTCAGCTCCATTTTCAAGTAGTAGCTGAACAACCTCGATCAGTTTGCCACCTACAGGAACGGACGGCCCCCACATTTGCCATTTCATCTCTTCTTTATCGCACGGGGTGGTATCTCTCCTAAAACACGAGGCGATGGCAAATGGTAAAATATCGTCTCCAGCTTTTAGAGATCTTGGTGAACTCAGGCCCTTGAGCTTTTGGAGGAGAACGAGCACGATCTTATATCGCCCTTTCCTGAGTAGGAATTTCAAACCCTGGATGACGGACCGCATGAAGGCCACGCGGTCTGCGCCTGTGCCAACAGCGCAAAATTCGTCGACCATTGCATCCTCAAAATCAGATAGGTCGCGATACTCGGGGGCGATCTTGGTACATAGTGCGAGAATCTTTTCCCCAGCAGCCTCACCCTCCTGGACACCAGCATCCGTATTGTCGGGCTGAGCCATACTTGGTTGTGTCGATAGTATTTACTTCATAGGTCTTTCAGTCTGAGAGATTATTAGGGAAGCGGAAGGCGGATAAGCTCGAGCATTCCAAATACTCAGGCTGTAGAGCACGAGATACGTTTACGTAGGTAGACGTGCTCAGTGCGGCCGAAATCCCCGCGTGCAAAAAAAGCACCATGTCAGGTGGCTGCCTGTTCCCATCGTACAAGTGTAACCAAGATGTAGGAATTACGTAGGAGGGTGCAGAAAGACAGAACTAGGGAGCGCCACGCAATACTTGGTCCTACTATCGTCTAGATATGCAGCAAAAAAAGAAAATATCGCAAAAACAGGCATGATCACGTGACTGTGCCCTTTGTCAGCAAAGTCGTCTATTAGGCATTTAAATTTGGAACCATTAGTTATAGATTAGAACCATTAATGCATTACCAGCCATACTAATTATTTACTTGTTTCTCCTGCAGGTAAGCACTCCTGTAATGCAGTTATTATAGTAATTAATACCTGGCAAGGTAATACTATTAGTATATATACTTAGTTAATAAGTAGCTCTAGAGAACTAGGTCCTTAAATACAGACCTGGCCCTATAAGGATTCAATTAATAATAAGGACCTTATAAGAGATCCTTAACTTTTTTTACTAGAATCTAGTAAAGAAATCCTTAAAAGTTAAAATTTTAAGCTAAGAAATATCTTTATTAAAAACTAATAAAGAAATTATTTTATTAAATAAATGCAAATAATATTTTATAATTATATAATAATATTATATATTATTATAAGGTATATAATAGCAGGGTATTATATAAATAATTAAGGTAAAGGAAGTAAAATCTAAGGTAAAATATAGAGTGAAGCGTGGAAGTATAATTAATTCCAAGAACTGATTCTAATTAAGAAACTAATTAATGCCCATTTCTAAAGCTCCGTATCTCTCTATATATATTATTTAATATTTCGCTAGATATACGGAAGTACTAGTTCTAATTAGGGAATATAATCTTATATAAGTACTAGTCTAATTAGGCTACTAAATCTAATCTAATATTACTATTAATATATATATTTTAATTATTAATTATTATTATATTTTACTTAATATATTTAATTTAATTTTTTTTAAATAATATATTTTTATTAAAACTATAAAGTTTCTTTACTAATAAAATCAAATATAATATCTTCTAATATTATAATTATAATATAATTAATAATTTAGATTGTTTATTTATATATTAATAAAGTATAGAGTTTAGTATTTCTCGGAATATTAGTTTTTCCGGACCCGAAAACCGCGACGCTAGCCGTAGCGCAGCGCAGCGCATACAGAGCCTTACTAATGAAGCCTTAGGCAGCTTTAAAAGGGCTGTGTAATCTTGTTTCTTTAATTTCATTGCTCTAATCTTCGTTCTTATTTTTCGAGGTTCGCAACTGAGAAGATTTCTCCCGACTCGTACGTCTCGATACAATAATGTCCAGCACACAAAAAACCTATTTTCTCTCCCCGAATTGGGACTACCCTCCTGACGGCCTCATACGGCTCGGTAGCCTGATCACGGACCCCCAAAAGCCTCATCGTTCACTCAATAGAGGATCCCAAGTTGCCATTGATCAAGCCAACATCGATCAAAGTGTGAAGAAGGAATGGGAATTAACACGCGCACGGCTCACTGAAGTGCGCATAGGAGTATGGGTTAGCTTCCTTTCCATCGTCGGCGTTGAGCCTGGTGCGGGCTACAATCGCCAGCACGATTCGAGCGAGATTTACAAATGTAAAGCACTCGAGACGAATTGCTTCCAACCCGATAATACGTATGTCTTCGAAAGCCTTCAGAACAAATTCGTCCAGAGCTATATCATCGATAATGGGCATAGGCTTCCTGTCTATATGATAACCGGAGTCAAGATCGCAAGGGGTTTCAGGGCTACAACGACGAGCAGCAAGACACAAGGCGGGGATGTGAAATTGGGTGTCAACACGGCGAGTCTTGGGGCTCCAGCGCAGGCTGGACCCGCCTTCAAGATTTCATTTACCAGTTCCGAGGCGGCGTCGTTTGGAGCTGGTGAGGGATCGACGGATTGCGTGTTTGCATACCAGCTGATTAAGATACGGTCGAAGAGAAACGATAAGTTTACCGAAGAGGAATTTTATAAGGGGGCACTACTGAATACGGATGAAGAAGAAGAGGGATGCTGCATACTTGACCAATTGAGTGAGGACTGGGACGTGGCCGAAGTTTATATGGACATTCCCCACCGCACTGAGCAGAGTCCAGGTGCTGGGGAGAAGAATGCGTTCCTCACTGTCGATGAAGATGGTGGTAAAGCTTGCGTTGTTGTGGTACCTGAATAATTGGTCTTGGGAAAGCACTTAGAGTTCGTCTCATTTGAATTGGATCCCCATATATTCGTCATGCTCTAGCCTACGTTCTATCTCTCAAGCGTTGGAGTATCATGTCCATAACTGAATCCATTTTATATCCCTTCTTAGCCTGCAGCAATCGCCATGGTCGTATATAATCGTACGTGTCTCTCTCACCCGCCATAAGAGCGAAAACCTCTCGCATACCGACAATTGTTTTCAACTTCCAAAAATGCTCCACCTCATCAATACTGAAACTTGCGGAATTTCTATACAAATGCAATCCCGCCAACTCTAGCATAATGGCTGCGATTCCCGCCGCAATGGGAGTCGCACAAGAGGTTCCTGATTTCCGTACCTCATGACCCTGATTCAAGTGCATGGGCCAACTTGACATGACATCCTCGCCAAGAATGATGAAATTGTCCTTGTTTCGATGACTATCAGGGGTAAATTTGGCCTTATTTCCTACGCCGTCGCTGGCATGGATGCAGATCACTTCATCCATCCGAGCTGGCCAGGAAACATCTGCGTTGCCGCCTTCGTTCGAAGCCGCTGATAGCAGGATTGTATCCTTTTGTTTGGCATAGCATATTGCCTTGTCTATGCTTGAGACAGATTCATCGAATCCAAAGGACATGGTGATGATGTCGACGTTCCAAACGTCCACAGCGTGTCTGATGGCCTATTGTCTGATTAGGTTCAACTTTCCAAGACACACACTAAGAAACAAACCTTCTCAATATTCTGGTTGATCTCTTGCTTCGGAATCATTCCTTTGCGATGGTCACCGTGCTTGAAAACCCTTTCGATGTATATCGTAGCGTTTGGTGCCACCTTCATCAGTAGTGCTGTTGAATGCGTTCCATGCCCATCCAAATCCTGCTGGATTGTGTCATCTAGATCAACCCAATCTTTGTACCCTGCAATTCTGTCTTGAAACTTATCGCAGGGAGGTTTTGGCAAATCTACACCGGTGTCTAGAATCGCTATCTTGACGGGGCCCCGGCGATGGAGGATTTTGTTATAGAAGGCATGTCTTTCTTCATTTTCCTGAAGTTTGAGCAGTGGGTGAACCTTTTCATTTAGGAGGCTAAACCAGCCGTCAGATAAACTATGTGGTAATTAGTTGCACAGCGCTTTTGATGTTCTGAATATTGCTTACCGAGAGAACTTTACATCATGGAGGGACGCGTCGGGCCATAGATTTTGTGGATTGTGAGAGCTTTCAATGAGGCCGTCCTGCCGGTAGTCATCAACAGTTTTGGCGAGAGCCAAGGGTTGATTCTCGCCAAAACGCGAAGCTTCCCAGTTGATATAATCCTCTGGAGAGAGCCTGATCCCGGCATCAGGGTCCACTCGATAAGCATCGATAACTTTTTCTATGAGCTTCACAACCTTGCCATGAAGTTGACGTTGAAGATTTTCGTTATCGAGAGAGAGTCCTCGATCAAACGTCCCAGCGTCAAGGCATGCTCTTATAGCATCATTATATTCCGGAAGGCTGTCCCCCTCGCACTTCTCAAGCATTTTCTCGGCAGCTGGAAGATCAGAGTCGATGTTATACTGTTTGTCCCGTCTGTTGTTCGGATTATTTCCATCTCGAAAGTAATCGATTGGAGATCCAAGCCAGAGTTGAAGGAGTAAGATTCCGAGGGCGAGAATATTCGGGTAGGGGTGAAAGCGGTTCTTCTCCTCAATTTTATGTGACTGGTGCTTTTTGCTAGCTTTGTGCGACGGTATCTTCTTCGGGTTCTTCCATTCTGTCGTCAAGTATGGTTTGCTGAGGTCGATAATAGGGTGACGGCGAAAACAAATATCAGCACTTGACCATATTACGGGGGACCATGGCTCTCCACATACTTGCATAAACCCATGGGCTAATGCAAGCGCGGAGAGATATCGGTTTTGTGCCCTGCGTAATACCGGCGGGGACATCCCGCGCATAATTTCATCTAAGGAGATGAATTTCTGTTCTTGCGGCCCATATATTGCCCTCTCATCGTAATGTTTCAGCAACCGACTCTTTGTGATATACAATTGGAGACGTGCGATGTTGCTTTCTGCTGTCTCCTGAACCACTTTGCAAAGTCCTGATGTGAGTTTCCAAGGGACACTTGCGTCGTCCGAAGGGTCTGGCTCTATAGGGAGAACTATTTTTACAGAACGCCCTTTGGCCTTTCTAGTCGACGAATGTGGTTCAGTGTCATGATTGTCTGGCACTTCAGCCTTGTCCGTTTCATTTCCATCTTCTGACATTGCATTCTCATCATCTTTCATTGTGCTATTGAGAGATAATTAGTCAAGTTCCGGCTTTGAGGTGATAGTGCATATGGATTTTACTCTCACCTATTATCCCACGTCGCAAAAATGTCTGCTTCTTGCCACCTCGAGTTTGACTGACAGGCTATCTGGAACCAGATGTCTAAATCAATGTTGAGACCCAAGTTTGAGGTTTTACGCCTCCGTTGTTTCCGTAAGAGAAGCTTTCCATGAGTATGTGGTGGCATTGATGGAGAGCACTCGCATTTCCAATGACTACTCAGCAATTGATGTGCCAAGCCTACCAACATGCGCTGTTTGCGAAAGGAAGACGGACCGCTCAGATCTATCCTTCCATTCCCCGATACACTGGTAGGGTCCAGGGGACGGGCAGCACGCATGCGTTTTTCCAGGTGAATATGGCATTCGGTGACTCGATGTAGCATCTGCCTGCGGACTGAAGGGTTTCGCTCCTGGAGCCTTATTATCGTCCTCAATTTCTTGACTGTCAATTCTACCCCTTGCACCTTGGCTTCGCCAATTTGCTGCTTTAATCTTACAAGGTTTGCGCGTCCGTCAAGATTATGTTTGCGGATTGATTGAGTCTGCAACTACCGCCGGCGTCAGTTGTCACCACGGGAAAAGTGGTGAGAATAATTGACTATGACCTACCTGAGTGTGCGGCAGTTCTACATTTCCCGATTTGTTTTTTTGAGGCACCTTGATGAGACAGCATCGATTCTCCATTAGAGTCACCAGCGATGTTACTTGATGTACTGGAAGTTCCAACTCCGGGTTCCAATGCTTAACATCTCTATCTACAGACCAAAGCGCAGTGTATAATTCCGCATGGAAAGAGTCTCTATCGCCAAGTCGAGCTCTGGCAGCGATTGCGTCGTCGTCATGGCCCGTCCAAAATGCAGCGAGTTCCAAGAAAGCTGAAATCACGCCGGTGAGCAGTTTCCAATCCGAGTTTGTCGACATTTCTGCTGGGCGTGAGCTGGCTAATGCCACGAGTAAGCCTTTTATATTGACACCCGATTTGTGGTAATTGAAGATTGAAATTTTTCGTACTCGGCCTTGCTCAAAACTGGGTGCGGGACAGAACTTTGACTCTGGTGACTTTCACTGCAGAAATTGCTTTCTCCGCGCTTCCTTTCGGCTGCGTTTAATCATCGAATCACGAACAGTAAACTGTGCGGCAAAAGTGATTATTAATAATCAACTGATCAGAGACCAGTCAGCCGCAGCGGGGCTGGGGGATGCCAATTCTTCTCCAAACTGCAGCCATATCGTGGATTCCATCGCCATAACGCAAAAGCAATGGATATTGCATCACAAGAGCATATCCGCACTAATGCCAACATTTGTCTTGAGACGTTCAGTCATCTGTGTAAGCTGCATGGCGAAGACTCGTGGTTTGAGGATCAAAAGGCTCGCTGCAAGCTTTGGGCAGCTGACCTGGGTGTCTTTGCGCCAATGAGGGTTTCTGCTGATCACCGTTTGCGAGAGTATCCAGTGATCCGGCAGGTCATCAATCAGTTGCTGAGGGGAGTGGCTGCGAATTTGGTTCATCGTACACTTCACTCTTCCCAGACTTTTGTTGTTCAATGCTTATGAGGCTACAGTGGCAAAACTATCTTCAAGCGAGACTCTGTCGACTTCGAGTGATCAGGGGCAAGAGGAAGAACAGCAAGAGAACCTGTCCGATTCCTCGGGATCATCATGCACCGTCCCGTCGCTGCCTTCCGATACTAATTATGACAACGTCGACAGTGATGCTATATCACTGTGCCGTCTAAGTGTTAAAGATGCCATCACACGGTTGTACACAATATCAACTTCAATTCGTCATTCTGGATCTCGTTATAGGGACCAGAGAGCGGAAGCATTTGTCAATGAGGACTCGGAAAGGCGAAGCCAAGCAGAATCGTTTCTTGCAGTTTCGAAAGCTATTTTAGATTTCAAGTACCAAAAGGCCAGCGAGCAGCTCCGAGAGCGTACCGCAAAGACCATTATCCTACGACAGAATCGAATTTTCTACCGGCGAAGCCACAGAGAAAAACGTGCTGAGGTTGTTCCTCATCTACCTGAGGAATCGCCGATAGTCATCGATTCTCACTCTGCAACTTCTGCAACGAAGACAAACCTACATCTGCTAGAGCATGATCTAAAATCAGGGACTGAATACGCTTCACAGTCTACTGTCGGCTCAAGTACAGGGAGTTCCACATTCGGATCGACCGACTCACATATGCAGCCTTTGCAATTTCCCCGTCCACCTAATGTTAAACCGGGAGACCACTTCAGTTGCAATTATTGTTGCAAACTGTGCCCTGCCGAGGAGACTGGCGCAAAGCGTTGGCGGTAAATATCCCATGAAGACTCCCGTTTATTTATCACCCATGCTAACCTTCGCCTAAAGCAAGCACATAATAAGAGATCTGATGCCATATTTTTGTGTTTTCGAAGATTGTTCCACACCCGCTGAACTCTTTGACAACTTCAACGACTGGCTTTTGCACATGCGTCAAGCACATCAAAGATCGAGCTGGGTCTGTTTCTCACCCGCTCATGAGCCGAAAACTTTCAATGCGGAAGATTTGTATGCCGGACATTTGGAAAGTGATCATCCTGGTACCTTTTCCGGAGCAGAACTACCAACTTTAACGCGAATGGCCATGAGATCAACTTTTCATCTTTTCACAAAGTGTCCATTCTGTCTCCAGCCGCCGAAAGGGTCAGACAGCCTGGGAGAGGGTCTTATAACGAATGAAGAAGAGTATAGACTCCAGAAGCATGTAGCAGACCACTTGATATCCTCGGCTTTGATTTCTCTCAGGTGGGTTGATGATACGGACAAGACGCTGTTGGCAAGTTCCTCGTCAGCGGCGCACTCAAAACGCTCCACTATCTCTGGACTTGGTTCTGAATATAGCCTTCCATTTGAAGATCCGCCAGGCCGTGGCAATAGTGAGGAAGATACGAGTTCTGGATTGGTTGGAGAGGAGGGCTGGGGTTCCTATGCCTTCGACACCCAAGACGTTACAAAAGGTCAGGAAAATGATTCTTCGAATCCAATACCGGAGACTCAGAATTCTCAAAACGACATACCGACACTTCATGTCGACAACATTGCCCTGAATCTTGCTCAGGCCACGATAGATCCCAGTGCTGGGTCATATACACAGCAAAACCTCGGCCGGCAGAATCTCATCCGTACAAGAGATCCCGACACTAGTAGAGAAGAGTTTGATCCACGTGAGTAGATTTACCTCTCTTTCGTGCTACCTAACATTATGCAGATTATAAAGTCCATGATCCTTGGGCTTTCAGGTGGGGAAAGGTGCAAGCCCCTACTATACTTACTACACCGTTTCTAATTATAATTAGGTTTTCAAAGTCCTTTGGGCGGAGCCAAAGGATGAAAATGGTGAAGGATCGGATAGTGGTGGATCAGTAACTGTAAGGAAAGACGCCCGTGGGGAGGAAATTTTTGCCAAGGTCCGCCGTTTTGTTATAATAAAAGCTGCGGAAGGCCACTGTATTTGTTTGTAAGTAACTATACAGTATTTCTCCTCACATCTAGCTAATATATGGTAGACCTATCAACACTTACTCTGGTCAAGGCGTGAATAAAAAAGGGGTACATGCCGATCACCATGCTATTATTTATAGCGGGAGAAGGCCGGTGGCTTTTAGGGGCGAAAAAGAAAAAGGACTAACTATGAGGTCAATCAAAGTTTCCCCAGACAACGCACGCCACAAGCTTGACGATGCTTCTCGACTGAACTACGCCAAGACCTATACTGTGGAATATAATGTGAAAGTAGTAAGTGCGCAATTCACGTTCCATTTTTTTTGGCCTACCTTTAACTCTCCCTGCTTTCTTCGAATATTCTCAACGCGACCTTTCGTTCCCATACCAATACCCTTACTCTTCTGGAAGTGCTAATATCGTGGACGATCTAGTGGTTTATAGGAAAAGTGTCTGCGGATTCCGAGTGGCAAATTCGGACTGACTTCAACCGAGTCCATCCTCCATTAGCAATTAAAGGTGTAAAGCCCTCAGATGAGCCAGATATATTCAATCACAATTTTCCAGCAACCTATGGGTCTTCAGACGGCTACGCTACCTACCAAAAGGCGTCACACACAACTTACGGCTATTCGGCTGCCAACCCGTACACTTCGGCTGCCACGAACACGCAAGTTAGTCCATCTGGGGTTTACGGCTCTTCTGCAGAATTCTACGATTCGGGTAATATTGCGCAAACTGGCGGGAATGAGACAGCCCCTGGCGAGTGGCATAGAGAGCCGTCTCTTGGCCCTATGCCAGAGGAAGGCGAATCACACGAAGAAGACCACGGTGATATATACGATGCATAATAGTTTAGAGATCACGTGACTGTTCCTTTCTCGCTGTCAAGTGAAGCCTTTTATCTAACCAGACACTAGACAAAAAATAATTCATTGAATTAAATCACGTTTTGTTCATAAGCACGCCCACTTTCATCATTAATATAGTATATGCTAGCAAAGGATGTTTCTTCAGCCTCGCTTCCGCATAACTGCTCCTCTCTGGATTTTGGAGCAGCTATGTGAACTTGCCAGAAGTCAACAATTGTGCTTTGAACTCCTGTCCCTAGAGAGCAGGAGGATGGTTCGGGGATTTGAGTGGTTGATTGATGGAAAAGATCGGGTTTGTGCATTTCTGTTTCTAGGTTACGATATGGTGATTGCGTGTTAGCGGCGGTCGTAATGGAGGAGATCCTTCTAACCTTCGTCCTGAGAACCGAATCCTTGCCCATCGTGATATCGTGAGCCCCTTGTCTTCCAGTTATCCATCTCCGCAAGAGCTTGAGCGACTACTCTGCATAGTACCACCCCTCTATAAGTATATTCCCATTCCCGAAATGCCCCCAAGCTCCTAGAGCAACGAGATGAGGTACAGTGTCCTATAGCACGTGGAACATTTTCAAAGACGGCAGTATGAGAATACGCCGTGGACGAGGTTTTTGCCGAATTTCTCTTAAACTCTCGGCCTTAGCTATTTGGAACAGGCTTTGGAGTGAGGGGCACAAGGCGCTTTGCCGGAGCTGAAGCAAGATGGGCAACTTAGGCTTACGTTGCAGAGAAAATTCAGTACCTTGTCAATGCAACACTGCAAGAAGCAGACGCGTTGGTACGCAAGATGCTAATATAGTAGTGTATCTCAGATAGAACCACCATCTCTACCAAAGCAGACTTGATTTCCGAATGCCCGCAACATTGCACGATGCTTTGATTGATTAAATCAGAAGGAATAGCGGACGCTTTGATTAGTCTCGCCAAGAACCAGAAGGAGGACACAAACGTGCGGACTTTTTGCCATAGTAATCGTACCTAAAACAACCTGGCGCACTTAGGCTCTAATGCCTTTCAGGCCGAAATAATGCACTCAGCTTCGGTCGCAAAGTTCCAGAAATTTAACTGTTTAGATCTCTTACATATCTTGCGCCAAATCAAATTCGGATTCTCAAAAAGAATCGCTGGCCTCGTCCTTCTCTTAATGGGCGTTAGCTGGGGTGGTGGTCGTATCCCGTGGAAATCCGCCAATTATATTGCAACCATTGTTGCTGTACTTACGCTTGTTGCCTTCGGAGTATATGATCATTTTTTCAAGGGTGATAAACTTATGCCGATGTATTTGTTCACAATACCCGCGTACTTGGCAATGGTGAGATATATTCTAATCCACTTGTGGCTCCATCTTTTGTTAACACCCTTGCTCTAGGTTCTTATAGCTATGGTTGCAAGTAGTGTCTATTATGGAATGTCTATTCTTTGGCCTCAAGTAGTCAAATATCTGTTCGGTGGGAGCGCTATATAGCAAGGCTTCCTTGGCATATGTACCTTTCAATCCCTTTCAATGACTATAACTCACCGACCACTTTCTGTGCGTTCTAGGAATAGGCACGTCGTCGGCCAGGGCGTTGGCGGGATAATAGTCCACTATATTAAGCAAACCTCGATACATTCTCATAGGCTCTATAATAACTCTCATTACTTTCGCCGTGGCTATAGGGTCAGCTGGATTCGGTGAATAGGCGGAAGGCGTCGGACTGCTGTTCGAAACCTCTTTCGCTTTTGGCATTACCGAGACTGCTTCTCGCTCCTTGGAATTACTAAGCTGCCCACCAGAAGACCTGGGACTCGATCTAGGAATGCTAGGATCTATCCGTAGTACTGGAGGTTTGATTGAATATGCGTTGCTAAATTTCTACCCCTTCTAGTTCTATTTCTAGAGCCGAATCTCACTTATACCTAATATAGCTGCGATCTACGCCACTATCCTCACTAATAAACTCCCAAGTAGTATATGAAAAAATTAATCTGATTAATTAATTAATTCATAAATATTTATAAATAGCGTAAATAGAATTTAATTAACGTAATGCTTATATAATTTGATTAGATTAGAATAATTAATTATGATTATTTATAAATATATTAATTAATATATATGTAACCGCGGCACGTGATAGGCTAGCCTAATTAAGTAAGGTTCTTGCTCCAGTACTGCCTTAGCAAGCTTTTCTCTCTAGAGGCAAGGTAGTACTAGAGCCAGATCCTTACTTAATTAGGCTAGCCTATTACAGTCACCGTCAACTGATATTAGGTCAAGCGAAGTTTTACACCAAAACTCGGTTACAACACTTTCCAAACTATCCACAATACGAGGTTTTTATAGTAAAATCCTCCTCATGCAATCGTTTATTGGATCATTCCCCTCAATTCTGCCAATTCTAATAATTCTAGAATTACATTGTCGTAAAGTTATATAGGGGTAATTCTCGATATAAATAGAAAATGCCTTCCTTACACCCAAATTCGCTTATTTTCTTAGCGAAAATTGGACCGTCGCAATTACGACTTAATTAAACAATATGTATTTAATTCCTAGCTTAAATGGAATCGTATAAAAGTTAGATTATATATTAATTATAAAAGACTATAATCCGTAGAGAAAGTTATATGTTGTAGGCGTTGTGGTATATAGTACGGGAGAAGGCGAAATGGCGATTTTTGGTGGGGTTTAAAAAGTAACCTAATATGAGTTGCCTAGTACTGTACGTGCTGCGGTCACGTGTATATTAATTAAGGTATTCATAAATAGATTAGATTAATAGCCATTAATCTAATCTAATCTATTTATTTCTTATACTATTCCCAAGCATTATACCCGAAAAGGTATTTACCGCTGCCTTTACTACAGGTCTCCCTCAATCCTCGTTGGCGGGGTTATTGGCTTTACCATCTAATACCACTGCCGTAATTAGTATTATACCTAAAATTACTAAAGTTATCGTACTAGCGACGGCTCAAGCTGCCGCAAACTCATTCCAGTAGGTCTTTGTGAGGGCAGAAACAGAGCAATAGAACGAGGCTCAAAGATTAATGATTTCCTATATCTTGAGAATTTAAAGCTAAGGAGGAAGGAGTGAGGTGTAGCAGTGGATAAGTAGATATAGCCAAGACCACTAAAACGCCGAGCTTTGGAAGCGAGCTTGGTTTAAACCATAGCTTGGAACCTTAGCTGAAACTAACCCCTTTGGCTAAAACCAACTATGTGACACCAGCCGTTACAGTCTTTATATTCTTCCCCTTGGTGCTACGCGACGAATCTGGGTTGTCCCGCTAACGGAGGTTTAATATAGATATATGTGGTATGTCGCTATTGCATTCGGGTGTCTCTCTATAGCTGCTTCCATACTAATAAGTACGGACTATAATAAATATTTGACGGATAATGTTGTGCGGAGATTGCAGGGCATATATGCTTATCCCGCTAAGAAGGCTCTAGATGTGTAAATGCTGGATCATGAGAATAATGGGATTATATATTATTTCTTGGATATTTCCTGCTTGTATTACTTATTTATAATTATTTAAATTATGTTTTATAAGAATTATAATTAAGGACATTTATATATTTCTTTAAAAATCCGAAGTATTAAAAAGATATAAATATTAAACTGGATTTCATGCCTTAGACTTTAACTGCCCCTTATCTAGCGCCCTTGGCTACTAGTCCCCTGGGTTTCCCTATATAAAGGGGCTGGCTATAGTATAATAAATCATTCTTTTTCTTTATTACTTATAACTTCAATTTTCCGTATAATAATAAAGTTACTAAAATATTAGAAGAGCTAATTAATATTATATTAAGCGAGAGATTACTTTTTTTATAAATCAAGAAGTATTTTTATATTTATTTGTAGTCAAATCACTTTCTTAGTATATAAGTAAAAATATAATATATTAGTATTTTAAAGCTTTTATACTCTACTTTTCATATAAATTAATGTTATAATAAGAGGTTATTAAGACTAAGGCCTTAATTTAAACTATAAATTATAAAGTTTTATGAAAATGATTTTATATAAGATATATGCTTAATTTCTCTAGAACTATAACCGATTAGTTCGCAATGAGTCCGTTGCAAACAACCCATATATCTTTTTAGTAGTACGGGAAAATACATGCTTATATACTACCTACTTATACATATTTTAGTCATTTGCAGGCCTTCCGCCAATTCCACATTGCTTTATAGTTAATCTTATAAGCAACTTATGTTCACTGCTATATAATACGTTCTGTGCTAACAATAATAGCACTCGTCAGACAATATCTAAGGTTATATTAACCGCGACATTTCGAAGACTTTCTTTACTTTTACCGGCGAGGACAATAATCGTATACGAAGCTACGGGCAAGAACCGATTCCGCAAGGTTGGTATAAGCGACCGTCGTCCAACCCTTACGGCACAGTTCCAACCTCATTTAGTATTCATCGCCTGGTTTGTCAGCTTGTCTAGCCAATCTGCTAATAATACCAAAGGAAGACATAGAGGTCCTTGTCACGAAATATCCCGACACTGTCGAATTTAGCGGAAGTAAGGGGACAGTGTGGGAGGGAAACTGCGACAAGACAAAAACCCACATAAAGTATACCAGAGCGCAAAACGTGACTTGATAGCAAAATAATAAATTAAAAGCGTAAATAGTAAAGCATAAATAGTATATAGTGTGCAAAAGCTTAATTAATTAAATATGCATGAAGGATTATTCTCTAAGTCTATAGAAAAACCAGCTTTCTTATGTAATTTCCGCAAGTCACGTGCAAAAGGCTGTGGCCTTTGCCATGTGACCTAAACCTTAAAACCGCTAAAATAACATGATTTTTAATAAGTAGGGCCTGCTATATTATATCCAATCCCCTATTTATTTGTACTTGTCTCCTAAGTACTAAAAATAATAGAAAAATCCTACTTAGAGTCCGAAATAATAAAATATTCAGGATCTTTCTTTATTAGTTAATTTAATTTCTTCTCTATATACCTAAAATAAGACTTATTATTCTTAAATAGTCTTATTTCGTATTCCCGAACTTGCTTAAAGGTAATTCAAACCCGCTTAGCCGTATTCTTATACCAAATCTAA